AGCCGGGCGCAGCCTCTCCAGCGGCCAAACCGCGCTTTTCCGCCTGGGACAGGTCTGCCCGGGACAGCGGCTCCCCCGGAGATAGAGACGGCGGTTCCGCGCTCCTCCTCAAATTCTCTTTGCAGCAGCAAACCAGCGCGGGTTTTACCCAAGAGTTAATAGGCAAAACTAGCCCGATTAAGGGTGATGCCCTTAAAGCATCACTAGGGACGAGCACTGTAAGCCCTCCACATTAATTTGACAGGAATTTAGGGAAGGCAAATATCCCTTCCTTATTAGTGCTAAAGGAAAGGTCTTAAGTGTTTTAGATTCCTTTGGAAACATCCAATCTTCATGTGGGTCGTACTTAGGATCTAAAAGAAAAATTTGAAACTTCCAAAGAACTTTAATTGAAATCAAGATATAGTTGTCGCATTGATTGAAGTTTTGTACTTGGAGTAATATAAAAGCCACGGAGTTTTAAAAAAATTTATTTTAGAATACTGTCTCGGTCAGCTACGGATGTTACAGGAAGATGCAAGAGCAAATAGCATTGGCATAAAGAAGATGTCAGGCTCAATAGGCAAGTCCTGTTTGATTTTGACAATTCCATTTGCCAATGCAAATTTTTAAATAGACTTCTGGTTTTGCATTTCAAAATATGATAAACTATGCCATATCTGAATATCATATATGAGAGTTTTAGAGTCCTAAGTTGTTTTTATATTTAAACAACTTCTCTTTTAACTGATTTTTAACTGCTTTTTTGTACTTTATGTATAGTTATTTTCATGAAACAGTTTGCCTTAAACTCCAGAAATGTTATATCTAAAGGAAAAAGGTACCACAATTCAGAAGTTTTCCCAAGTGAAGAATGGCATAAATCCTTGGGTCCCAATACTCCATTCACCACAGAGATGCTAAAATGAATACCTACAAGCTGTGAATCACTGTATACTTTGATTTGTCTCTTTAAATCGCACTGAAGAATTAATTGACACATCACTGGCAAATGGCAATTAGCTAAACTCTACCAACTCCAGTCAACTCTTCAAAAGTAGATACAGTAAAAGAAGAAAACACGCTCAACTCTTTGGGAAATGGCAAAGAGTTACAATAAACAAACTGACTACAATGTTTTGTAGTCAGTTTGTTCATTGTAACCCTTTGTGCTCTAGAATGATTAAATTGTGCTCTAAAATTATTAAATTACAACAGCTTTAATGTGCCTGATCTAAATCATCACTGTAAGACACAAAGTGAGAGTCTAAGCCTAGAATATATGTAGAGGATATTGACTGACAAAAATCACAGAATCAACTAGGTTGGAAAAGACTCAGCTCATTGAGTCCAACCTATGGTCACCTATTGTTCTGTTTTCTCCCATGTCACAGAATGTGCAAAGGATTTTTATTAAAAATGTCAGGTTCTCTGCAGTTGTGTGGAAGAACACCTTGATTTCCACATCTGAAAAAACAGTGACATGGGACTTTGGACTCAAATCCTGTAACAATGTATAGCAAGTGTTGACACAAAGATCCCAATAATGCTTGTGGGACTCAAACACAAGTTTATATTCTTAGATTCTATCTAGTGACATTCTGCTTAAATCTAATTCAAATTGTTTCTATCCTCTTAGCTTTTCTCAGCAGCAGCAGAGGAGCATCAGCTAATGTTCCTCAACAGCTGTACTGTATAGCTTACACAGTATGCTAGAGAATTGTTAAACTGGATGTCTTGCATTCACACTCTGCAGAATGGTTACAAAGATTAAAATGAGATTCTCAGAAAAGTTTAAATATAAAACAGACCAAATACAAGTAAGTTTTAGTAGAGTGTGCTCAACAAAGAGACAAAGAGTTCTTCATTAATTCTACTTTAAGTTTATATGCAATAATCAGATAAACTTGTGAACTTTGTGCTACCGAGCCACCCAGTGGTTACTTTGAGAAAGCAAAACGCTCTTATTTCAGCAGTAGGAATCAACAGGTGGACGTTCACATAACAAATGATACAACAGTAGAAAGGAATACATCTGCACCGCTAGTGTGTCTATTTCACATCCTGAATACAAAACCAGGCACCCTCCAAAGACAACCAGCTATCCTGGATTATAAATGTCCTGCCGGTGACATTGTACCAACTCATCTCTTCATGAGGGCTACAAATTGGGACAATCAATGGTTTTGATAAACTGTCAATCTTACTCATGGAACAAGAGTTTTATTCTAAGTGGGACACTGAAAATCGGGCAAACAACAGAAAAAGAGAATCTGAAGAATATATTTATCATTACCATTGAAGCATGGTTTCCAAATCAGTAGATCTGTCATATATTAGCAAGTCCATTTCCTGCTTTCCCACAAAACCACATCAGTCATAATAAACTGTAATTTAAAACTTATTTAATTTCTTGATTGGAACTCCTATAGAAGCATAAGCTTGGACCTAAGACTTTGCTCCGTAATTTTAATTATAGGATTTTGTAACAAAATTAAAAGCTGAAGAAACTGACCTTTTGAAATCTAGTGCTTTTATTAAAGTTTTATGGAAACATACAAAATACAAGTGTTTTATCAAGATGCTTACAAAAATGAATTGAGATACTATAGCAAGTGCAAAAAAAACTGAAACAATTTTCCATTGAAGATATAGGCTCCAAGGGACCCCTATCTAACTATTCCAGAAAGGAACTCTTTAACAGGTTTCTCAGTAGCCTATCTTCCTATGAGCATTGCCCTTTTTTTTAGTAAATAGTTGGAGAACTGTTACTTAATAACAGAAATATAACTACCAACAAAGACTCTGTTGGATTAAAAGAGACCTATGTTTCAGTTTTCACAGAAGACTCTAAGAATGTAATTCTTTGAGTAGTCATCCAAGTTGAGGAAAAGGATTTGTTAGATTAAAGATAAACCAAAATCCAAGTCAGCAGTATTGCGTACATTGTTAGAATACACTTCTTTCTGCAGTTCTTCCCATTTCAGTATTTGCTCTGTCAGCTCCCTCAATTCTATCATGAGCACCTCTGTTTTTGACAAAGTGGTGTCCTGAAACAGAAAAGGGGTGGATTTAGTCTCTATACATCCTGTCAGCACATAGAAGTAACCTAAACAACCAAACAGCACTGCATTTTTCATGCTGGAAAAGACAGCTGGCTCAATTCTTTTACTACTCACCATATTGTTCATCATATGTGGTACCTGAGGGATGCTTCTCACAGACTGCAAATGGCTTTCAAGCTTCTCAATGAAAGTCACAGCCTCATTCAACAACTCTACTATAGACCTGTAACCAAAAATGAGCTCAAAAGTTGTGCTAAACAACAAAAATTTATTACTTAAAAGTTCTTT